GCCGCGGGGGCCGCGTTGCCGCTGCCCTCCCGGTGGCCGCGCTCGGCACTGGGGTACTGCCCCGCCGTTGCCGTTTGTTCCCCATCCTGTTCCTCTGTACCACAGCTGCCAGGTGAGCCCGCGGGAGATGTTATCTCTGGGGGCTCTTCTCCTGCCTATAGTACTGAGCCCCTCTGGGAGTGAGGGGATGTCATGGTATAGGGCTGTGAGTACAATGTAAAAAATGTCTATAGTATGCTGAAACTAGCTAGGAGACACATTCTCTAATGTAATCATGGTTGTTTTAGGTCAGTTGATTGTCCACAGGTTCCCCAATCCTGTTTCTGTGTTTAAAGCTTGATTAGAGGACTGTAGCCAACAGCTCTCATTCCAGCTCAGTAGAGCTGCATATCACCTAGGAGTGAGTTGGGTCTGTGTGTGTCTGTTTTCTCCTAGACTGACAGAGTCAGGCCTGTCTATGGTTGACTGGCACCTGGTGAAAGAGATGAAGCCCCCCAGGACGCAGCAGGAGTGGGAAGCTGAGTTCCAAAAGTACCAGCAGTTTCCAGAGTTCAAATTGTGAGTGTTCAAGATGAAAGGATGGTGCTCTGAGACCCTCCCTTCTGGGGCTCAGCAACACAAGGAGCTCTTGTAAGAGTGAAAATACTTGCTATTATGACCCCCAAGTGTGTTTGATGAAGGAGGAGGCCTGTCCTCTACCTCCACTATGACTTTTTTTTGAGGAAACTGATCCCTGATTCCCCTCAGCCACCAGTATCATTTCCTCTTTCTAAGGAAAATCATTCTCATTATGGGGAGTGTGAAATGAGACTGCTGTATTAAGGACTCTTGTTTTAATATCTGTAACAGCCTGAATCACGATATGACGCTGAGAGAGTTCAAGTTCATCTGGTACATGGAGTATTCACATCGTATGTGGGGGCGAGTTGTGGGTCTGGCCTATATTCTACCTGCTGCATACTTCTGGAGAAAGGGCTGGCTCAGCCGCCCCATGAAGGGGTGTGTTCTTGCACTCTGTGGGCTTGTCTGCTTCCAGGTAAGAGAGCCCTACAGCTGAAGGGGTTTGTGGCAGTGACAATATCTCCTGTGAATGTTTTCAGTTGGAGAGTAGCTAAGGTGGGGATTTGTATAAGTTTGGAGGGGGGGGAGGCTCAGTGCTGAAAAGTGGTGGAAGATAGAAGAAATATGTTATTTTGCCAGTAATGTTTATCTGATCTTAGCAGTCACTGCTGCTCCTTCTGTGCTGATACAGACATAAAGGGCTCTTTACTGAGCTTTCTTTCTGACGTGAGGGGCTGTGTAGTTGGTAAGGGAGTCAGCTCTCGCCCTTCAGTGGCCCTCGTGCCTGCTCTCTGGTTGTTTTGTCAGGGACTGCTGGGATGGTACATGGTGAAGAGTGGACTGGAAGAGAAGCCAGATTCTTATGACATTCCTCGGGTCAGTCAGTACCGTCTTGCAGCGCACCTTGGCTCTGCACTGGTTCTTTATTCTGCTAGCCTATGGACAGGGTTGTCTTTGCTGCTCCCACAGCACAAGGTATGTAGTGGTGTGTCAGACTCAAAAGCACGGAGTAGTAAAAAAAATCAGACACAGGACTTAAAGGACTTAAAAACATAGGAAGCTCTGTACTTTGATCCTTCTCACGTTTTGTATTTTACAGTTACCTGAGACCCGTCAGCTGCTTCGCTTGAGACAATTTGCTCATGGCACTACAGCTCTCATTTTCCTTACTGCTCTTTCAGGTAAGACTCTTAGTGCTGTCCCCTCCCAAGGCTCTTTGCCTTGTGTTTCTTCTGATCTGGTAAGGACTCTGAAGAACCTCATCATGTTTTCTGGAGAAAACTTATTCTTTCCAGAAAAATCCTATCCAAGAACCTTCACTTCTGGTCTTTCCTGGGCAGTTGGGTATGCTGCTTAGAGCCCACACACTAAGGTGTGACTCCTGTATATGTTTCTAAAGGAAATTCAAGATCAAGCTGCGTTCTTGAGCCAGGCTGGATTTAAGAGCCGTGCAGCCTGAGGTGCCACCAGTATGCAGTCTGATAGTCCAATTTCTCTTCTCTGGAACTGCAGGTGCCTTTGTGGCAGGGCTGGATGCTGGCCTTGTGTACAATTCTTTTCCCAAGATGGGGGAACGCTGGATCCCTGATGATATCCTTGCCTTCTCTCCTGTGCTGAAAAACATCTTTGAGAATCCTACAACTGTACAGTTTGATCACAGGATCCTGGTAAGTGCCATCTTCCTGCTATGCTGCAGCTTCTTCTTAGTTGCCTCCTAAAGCCAGACTGTCCTGTCTGTGCTGTGGTTCTGTCAGCAGGAAT